ATGTCCACCCTTTTGACTTGACCGATTCTGTTCTGTTATGTCACATTTGGTTTTACTCTCCTCCAAAAAAGCAATAAGAACCGTGGGAGCAATGAAACCCAAAATGTGTAATAGTCACTGTACAAAAGAGAGGAAAAGAAAGTGCTCTAAACTATATAACTGCATGTATATTTAAATGTATAAGATAGAAAATGATATCACAGAGTTTTATTGGATCATTGAACAGAACTGTTTGCAGTATCATTGTTGGAATGTCCACTCTACAAACTTTAATTTTGTGACTTGAACAATTATTTCTAAGATGGCAATATGTAATCCATTAACTAGTGATTTCCTACTGCGCATTTTTTTCTTCTGTAAATCTGTATAACTTGTACCCCTTCACTGTTTTTTTTTCTTTCTTTTCTTTTCTCCTTAAATAAAAATAAAAAAAAAAAAAAAAAAGAAAAAAGACAGTCTCTGAAGTGAAGTCTGCTGGCACCTACTGGGAATTCCAGCTCTTTGAGAGGCTGAGGCAGGCAAATCACAAGTTTGAGCCCAGCCTGGACAATTTAGAGACTTAGGAAGACTTTGTCTCAAAACAAAAACTAAAAATGGCTGGGGATGTAGCTCTGTGCAAAACGCCTCGGTGCACACCTGAGTACAACTTGTTCCATTGGTAACACAGTGCCAGCTGGATACGAGACCCTTGCAAATACAGTGCCGGCTGGCTATGAGTCAGTGGTTTTTATCCTATACTCAGAACTGTTTGCCATCAGCACCATCAGTTCTGGAACATTTGTTTTATTTCATGAAGAACCCCCAGCTGCCAAGAGTGGTGGGCACATTCCTGACATCCTATTTACTCAGAGAGTTCGGGGCCAGCTTGGACCACCTATCAGAACCCTTTCTAAAAGGGTGATGCTGATGCTATGGGTCAGTGGTAGCATGCTTGGCTAGCAAGCATGTGGCCCTCGGTTCCCCTATCACACACACAGGCACGCAAGCCCTGCGCCAGTCAGCTATCACACCCTCTCTCCAGACTCCAGATCTAAGTAACCATTCACCTATGTAAATAGATGGACTTAGGCAACATGTACTCTTTTGTGTCCAATGGCTTTCACTTGAAGCTTTTTAGTGGTCACCTGTGTCGCTCCCTGCAGCAGTATCTTGTTCGTTTCACTCATTTGAGTTCCATCGCATCCCCACACCAGGTATGCTCTGTCCTTGTGCTGCTGATGTGTGTTTCGGGAGCTTTCACTTTTAGCTATACGTATGCTGCCTGTATGAACACTCAGGTGTGCGTGTTTGTGCAGATGCGTATTTCATGCCTCCTGGGTATACATGAAGGAGAACTGCTGGGACATCTGGTATATACACCTTGTGAGAACACACTCACAGCTGTATTATTATTATTTTACATTCCTCGTACAATAACAGTACAGCACTTCTGACTTCTCCATTCCTTGTTAACGTTCTCTTTATTTTTTTCTGTTTGGTAGCACTGGGGATTAAACTCATGGCTTTCTCCCTGAGCTACATCCCCAGGCTTGATTTTGAGACAGGTTCTGGCAAAGTCAAATTGTACTTGAACTTGTGATCCTCTTGCCATAGCCTGCACGAGTTCTGGGATTACAGGTGTGCACACTTTTTTGGTTGCTGTCTTTTAAATTACCATCATCCCAGTGAATCTAAAGTGGTAAAGACTTGCACTTTCTTTTCTTCACTGGCCATTTGTGTATCTTCTGTAGAGAAATGCCCACTGCATTCAATTTTTCCTTTTTAAAAATTGCTGTTTGTTGTAAAGTTTTTTAGTACCGGGACTCAAACTTGTGACCTCATGCTTGCTTACCATATTGCAAGGTTTTAGAGATGACACCCAAAACCTTCATGGTATATTTCTAGCCTCATTTCCAGTTTCCATCCCTGCCCCCACCTCCGCCTCCCCAAGTTGAGTCTGAAGTTGAAAGAAATTATGGCACACACTGGGCAGCCCCCAAGGCAGAGCCCCCCACAACTTTGTCTGTGGCCCATGCACTGCCTTCCTTGGAACCCAGGTGCCCCATCTCTTCAGCAGCTGGAGTACGAATGCTGTCTCCAAGCAGAGAGCCACCTCCTACTTGAGTGTGTCTCCCAGTCACGGCCAGGGACAATGTGGGATTGTTGGGTGTTCAGCGCACTAAATAAGAGCCAAGAGCCAGTTTGGGAAAACTTTTTTCTCTGTCATCCACCTTTGGACAATATGGTAAAGCTATTTTTCTCTAATTTTTGCTTTGCATGGTGATTCTACCTCTAAAATTCTGGTTTAATAAAACTAGAGAATGCAAGTGTTAAGAAAGGGAAGCCGCCAGCACTGCACGCTGACCTCACATCCGACCTTTCCCTGTGTGTTTATCCTGATGGATGACTTTTCTTTGGAGCTGCAGACACAGAGGGGCTCACTGGGCAGCCGCGCCAGCAGCCTGGCCTGGATTACTGTCCGAGGTAGAGATCAAAGCGCAGCTATCTGCTGAGAGAGTTGACAACTTGCCACGTAATCTATTGCTATGCCTTGTGGTTTTAACCGCCTCTTGCAGAATCTCAAATCAAATGTGTGTGTTGTCACCAATGCTATAAAAAGAAGGGGTGGGGGTGTCCAGGTGCCAAAACTGGGAAGCAGTGTTTTTTTTTCCCTCCCCTTGAGTGTGGGTCTTAAAGTCTAGCAGTGAAATCCTTTCCCATCCTGTTCAGTGGAATAGCTAGCTGCCTCTGGAATTGGAACAAAAAGTTGCTGGTGATAGAGCCGCACGAGGTCACAACACACAGAAGCCCCTGGAAGTTGAACCGGGGTGTTTTCAGAAGGGGCAAAAGCGCTGACCATGTGCTGGATACAACAGAGGGTGCTGAGACTTCTTGGAAAAGGAGCTCATATAATGTACCCCACTAATTCCACCTCCAGACTCCTCATCCCAGACCTCCAGAATCCTCTAGGCCTGGGGTCCAGAGGAAAGAAATGGGCAAGCTGCCCTGCTTCTTCGACAGGGACTCTATTGAGGGACAATAATCCAGCCATGTGTGACACACACCAGACTCAGTATAATTGAAGCAATTTGTGAACCGAAGTTAACACCCCTCTTGCATGATGAAAGGTTAGGAAACTGCTAAGTGGCTTTGTCTAGGATCTGGGACAAAGGCCTATCGCTCTCTTCACTTAGACTTACAGAGAGACTGGTGTCTGTTGGAATAAAAGACGAAGCCAGGTAGTATGTGGCTAGGCCTAAACTGAGTTTTTAAAAACTAGGTCTGATTTTTAAAACGAAGTCTTCACTTTGCTCACGCTGGGGCTGAATGTGGTGCATAGCGCTCTCTGGTGGCCAGAAGGAGCAACTGCGTGCCTTGCCTGCTGGGTCGTCTGGGCTTCAGTTTTTGCTCTTTGTCATTGCTTTGCCAGCCTTGAGTGCAAGTGGGCAGGGAACCAGAACTGAAAAGAAGAGCAACAGCAAAAACTTTCTCATTGTTAGCCAGGGCAATCAGATCAGGCTGGCAAAAGGCTGGAAGGAAGAAACCAGGGAATTGAATGAACCTGCCCTGCTAACAAAACCGAACTATTTTCAGGTTTTTTTTGAGACAGGATCTCACTATCTAACAGTTTAGGCTGGCCTTGAACTCACTTTGTACCCTAGGCTGGCTTCCAACTTGCAGTAATTCTCCTGCCTCAGCCTCGTGAGTGCTGGGATTACAGCACTGTGCCACAACACATGGCAAAACGGCTCAAATTCTGAGGACACACCAATTCACTCATCACTTGTGTGTCTGCATGGGATCAACCTGAAGCTTCAGTGGGAAAGAACTGAATTGTGGAGCTCTCTGTAGAGGGCGGATGATGGAAATTGACTGTAGGGCCTCACACCAGCTATGCTATATCTCAGCCCTATTCTCTGACCTGTCCCTCTCCCCCAGGCTTCAATGAATTGCCCAGGTTGGTCTTCAGCTTTAGACCCTGTGTGCCATGGCATCTGACTTGCTTTATGTTTTGTTTGTTTTCTGAGACAGAGTCTTACTATGTAGTGCAGGCCGGCCTTGAATTTACAACAGTCCTGTTTTAGCCTCCTGAGTGCTAGAGTTCAGGTGTTACCACCATGCCTAACCTGGCTAGAATTTTTTACTTACATATTTTGGGATGCTAGGGCTCAAACCCAAGGCTTTATCTGTGGTAGTAAGTACTCTGTCCCTGGCATACATCCCCAGCCCACTAGAGTTTGTGAATTTTTAAGTATAGGTTTTGAAGCAGAGTGTGGTGGCTCACGCCTGTAATCCCAGCACTCGGAAGTCTGAGGTGGGAGGATCGTTGTGATTCGAGACCAGCCTGGGCTACAACCTGAACTGCATAGCGAGACCTCCTCTCAAAAAAGACAAAAAAAAAACAAAAACAAAAACAAAACAAAACAGGTTTTGAGCTGGGCATGGTGGTGCAAGCCTGTAATCCCAGCACTCCGGGAGGCTGAGGCTGGAGGGTAGTTGTGATTTGAGACCAGCCTGGGCTACAAAGTGAGCTCAAGGCCAGCCTGACCTGCATAGTGAGACTCTGTCTCAAAAAGATGACGAAAAAGTAAGTATAGATTTTGATTTCCTTTCCCTATTTAGGCTTGTACACCCGAGATATGAAATATGATAGTGTCTCTATGCTGGACTACAGCATTGCTTGATTTAAATGTTCAGCTAACTTCTACCCCGCCCCCCTTCATGCTCAAGTATTTCTACCTTTTTTTTGTACCTGGAATCAAACTCACCCAGGCAGGCCACTTAGGCCGCTGAGCTGTATCTCCAGCCCAAGAATTTCTACTGTTTAAAGGGGGCCTCAATCAAAGAAATTTTACAGACACAATTGCGATATTACTTTGTAATATCACTTCTCCAGAGAAGTCGGGAAACGGGACTCATGCGCATTGCCAGGTCTTTGATGGATCCGGGGTGTCATTGGGGTGCGTGTGTGAGAAACAGGTGGTGAAACGTGAGACATCCGATGTCAAGGGGAACCGCGTTTTGCACCTCATCATCTTTTACTCAAACCGAAAGATACAGAACGCAGCATTAAAGGCTCAGGAAAATTGGCTCTGTGCGCGTTACTTCCTTGACGAGCCAAGGCGCGGAAAGCAGCGACTTGCCAGGGATGAAGTCACCGTTGTGATCAGATGCCTCTGCCCGGTCTCGTTCATCCGGCCACGCGAGCCCCTCCCGCGCTGGGCGCTGCCGACCCCTGGCCGCTGACCCCTGCCCGGGAGGATCCTCTGTGTGGCCGCCTGGAACCGAGAGGTGCGGGCAGGGCCCGGGAGGGCGGGACGCGGCGGCGGGCGGGGTCCCCTATAACAGGCGGGCGCCTCCCTTCGGGCAGCGTCCCTCCCTGGCGCTGCCCGCAGCCGCGGAGGCTCCGCAGTGCGCCTTGGCCCTGGAGCGCCGAGTCCTCTCCGAGCGCACCGACACCTCGCGGGCTGGCGAGGAGGAGGCTGAAGCTGCAGCCAGCTGCCACAGGAGGGCAGGGCAGGGCAGGGCCGGCCAGCGCAGCGTCCCTGGAGCTGCTGGCAGATATGCTGGGGCCCCTGAGGGTCACAGGTAGGTCGCCGGGAGCCTGGCTCTGGGCGCTGATTTCTGCTTTTCTCCTTAGGGAAGCCTTTGAAGGGATTTTTGTTTCGGGTTGTGCGCCTTTTCCTCTTGGAAAAGGATGGAAATGGATGGAAATCAAATAGAAAATATCTGATTTGTGTGAATTTGAAAACAACTTGTATAAACTTATCGTCTGCTAGAATCATAAACAAACTGAAGTTCCTACTTCCAAGAAGTTGTGGGCATGCAGCATTTTGGTTTGTTAGGACTTTAAATAAAGGTGCGCTTCATGGTGGCGGAGACTGGTGCTGTTTTAACTAATTGACCCTACTTCCAAGAAGTTGTGGGCATGCAGCATTTTGGTTTGTTAGGACTTTAAATAAAGGTGCGCTTCATGGTGGCGGAGACTGGCGCTGTTTTAACTAATTGATTAATTCACCGTGCTGGGGGTGGAACCCAAGGCCCCCGCAGGCCAGGTAAGTGCTCTACCACTGAGCTACACCCTCAGCTCTTCCTGTGATATTGATAGAGCCACACATACCATAAACTTGGTGGCTACTGTAAATCACAGCAGTCTGAGAGGCTGAAGCAGGAGGATTGCACTTCCAATCCAGCTTGGGCAGCTTAATGGCTTAGCCAGAACCTGTCCCAAAATTTAAAGAAAGACCTCACACAACACAGTGTGAGGTCACTGAGTTAAATTTGCAGTGTTGGTGTTGGGGGTGGGGGATGGTGGCTAGCAGACAATACCATTTAGGGATTGTTTAAAGATGCATTTTTCTCCAGCTTGCTTTCTAGGGATTTGGCTGTGCAGATTATTTATTTATTTACTTACTTACTTAGGGTTTTTTTTTTTTTTTTTTTAATCGGTACCGGGGATCGAACTCACAACTTCCTGCTCGCAAGGCAGGCACTTAATGCCACTGAGCTAAATCCCCAGCCCCTTAGTTATTTTGAGGTAGAGTCTCACTACATATTCTAGGCTGGCCTCAAATTCAGTGATCCTCCTGCCACAGGTACTGAGATTACAGGTATATGCCACTATGTGCAGCCTGAATTAGAATATTTAATACATTCAGGTTACCCACATCAAACTTTTAGCTCTTCTAACTTGGTAGTTGATAAGCTTGTTTCTGTAGGAACTGACAAGTTTTCCTGTCTCTTTCCTTCAACCAAGAAAATACAACTCCGTTTTCTAATTTCAATTTGTAAGCACAGCTTGTTAGTTAAATTTTTGAAATCGTTGCTGTCAAATGGTATTTTTTTTTGTTGTTGTTGGTTTTTTAGTTATGTATTCTTAAAAGTGCCAGTACAGAATTTCTAGGACCCTAGATATTTTCTCAATTTAATTGTTTCAGCAAAGCCTTCTCCTCCCGTGAATTTTTGTTTTCTTTTTGAGACTGGGTCTCACTATGCAGTTTGGGTTGGTCTTGAGCTCACTTTTGTAGCCCAGGCTGGTCTCAAACTCGCTGTGATCCTCCTGTCTCAGCCTTCCAAGTAGTGGGATTAAAGATGTGTGCTCCTATGGAATTTTAAATGACTGAACGTTTGGCAAAACTAAAGACATCTGACTTCTACAGATTATCTGTTTACTTTGAGATTTCCTTCAAATTCATTCTCCAAATTAACTCACCTAAGGTTTTCTACTGTTTACCAGTGTGAAGTTCTAATGTGATACCTGGAAACTGTTATATTCCAAATGAAGAACAATGAAATATACAAATGCCCAACTTGCTTTTGGTGTGGTTTGTGGATATTCACAGCTGAAAGAGGGACTTTATACTTCTTTTTGGGGGGGGGGGCATTTTTTGTATACAATGTGATTTTTATCACTATGATTAGTTTGTTGCATGCTGAGCTTCTCATGGAAAAGGTGGTCTTTTTAAGTAGTAAGTCAGGATTAATCAGAGGTGCCAGCTGGGTTGTTAAAAATCCAGTTTTTCACATAACCTCGGTAGAATGGTAAGTGAACAAGCACATGGGAAGGTTGTCTAGTTTTTTAAGGCAGTCTCCAGTGCCTGCATCTGGTGCTTCTTGAATTTTACCCTTATTACAGTGTGGAAAGGAAAGATGTGGTACAGTTTTGCATTTCTGTCTGATCGTAAAAATCTGCATGAAAATTTAACAGCAAGTAAATAGTTCCTAGTGGGACAAGTAGAAAAAGAAAAAGAACTTCCAGTATTTTGTTTTGCTCTGCAAGTTTTCCTGTTAAGGATCATTTGTTTGTTTGTTTGTTTATTGGTGTACAGTGAAGAATTTTATTTTCTTCAGGTTCTGGAACCTGGAAGTCCCAGATCAAGGTGTCAGCCAATTCAGTTACAGTAAAGAAGATTTATGATTGGTAGGGTTTGTTTTGTTTTGATTTGAGACAGGGTCTCCCTATGGTAGTTCTGGCTGGCCTTGAACTCTCTAGGTAGCCCAGGCTGGCCTCGAATTTGTGAATCGTCTTGCCTCAGCCTCTTGAGTGCTAAGATTGCAGGTTTGTACCACATGCCCCACTTGATCGGTAGTTTTTGAAATAGTTGTTCAGAATCTTGAAAAGCAGTAAAGAGTTTTGAAAAGCTGGCATAAAAGATGAATTAAACATCAAGATTGTGATGTCTTTGGGATCACTCATTTAAATAGGAAAGAAGAAAGTGGTTGTAGGCTGGTGATTTAGCTCAGCAGCATAGGCACCTGCCTTGCAAGCAGGTGGTTGTGAGTTTGATCCCTGGTACCGATAAAAAGTTAAAAAAAAAAAGTGGCTGTGGTTCACTTTAGGACTATGTGATTTTATTTGAGGGAGTTGTATAAACAGCACAGTGCATTAACAGGACTGATGTTGCTTTTGTAGGAACAACTTTGGAACCAGTTTTCATTTTAAAACTAGAGCGAATCTGTTGCTAGTAACCAGTGGCCAACCCCCACCTCCCACCCTTGCACCTGAAATTTAAACCAGGGAACTCGGATTAGGAAGGGATTGTTTATTCACTTTGCATGCTATTTTGCCGTGGCTGCTGTCTTAATTTACACCTATCATTGAGAATAACTGAAAACAGCAATGCTTGGAAACTCATGCAGAAGTACCGAGAGCTAAGTAAACTAGAAAAGGAGTACTCCAACATGCTCTATTCTAGATTGTTTATAATGTACCTCCCTGTGCAAATCAGTTTTCAAAGAGGAGACCCAGGTTTCTAAACTTCAGTAGAAGCAGATTAGAGACCTGAGACATGAAATTGATCCCTTCATGACTGCTGCCTGAGTAACTGCTGCTCATGGAGCATTGTGATTTATTCCACACCAGCCTGCAGATACTGGCTTCTTAATCTGTGTCGCTTTACATCGTGAAAGTAAATTTCTCATGGCTTGGTAGTTTACCCAGGGCTTCACAGCTATGAACATAGCCAGGCATGGTGGCACATGCTTATAATCTTAGCACTCTGGGAGACTGAGGCAGGAGGATTGAAAATTTGAGTTAGGCTGAACAATTGAACGAGATCCTGTCTCAAAAACAAGGGGAAGGGATTTGCTGAGGATTAAGCTCAGTTCGAAAATCCTGGGTTCAATCCTTGGGACCGAAGGGGGAAAAATGGAGCAAAAGCACATACTGTGAACTGTGGAGTACCTTGGAAAGGCCTCTCACACTGTGTGGATGTCCCTGTCTGTCTCGTGGTGACCACGTTTGTACGTGATGGTAAGGCCAGGGGCAATGCTCCTGTGCTGAGGTCTGACTCTCTGGAGTTCAAATTCCAATTAAACATCTCCTCCTGGAGGCTTTGTGATGGATGAGCTTTAGAACAAGGGACTTGGGTGTGTTAGGGTATAAGGGATGGATTTAGAATGTAGAGAATTCTGGACTAATTCCAGGACAGTGCTACACATGGAGGAGGCGGTTAACCAGCTCCAGATGGCCCAGTCAGCCGCCCTTATGTGCTCGGGGACAGAGAGCACTCGTTATTCTAAACCTCAAAAAATGAATGCTGTGATTTTTGCAGTATTGTAGTATTTTTCTGCAAAATGATGTGCCCCTGAAACCCCAATAGCAAAATTTGGATGAAAAATTAAAATTTTGTAATATATATATGAAGACACACACTTTTTTCCTTATAAGCTGTCATGTAAAAAAAGTCAAATTATACTTTGCTCTTGACCTCTAAGCATAGTCATCACTAGGTGTCCCCTGGGAATCGGCGGCAAGACCCCCTCAGATGACTAAATCTGAAGATGCTGATTTATAGATATCATTGCCTTTAACCTACAGCATCTTCCATATTCACAGTGCTGTAAATAGTGCTGTTCAGGGAGGTGATGAGAACCATCTGTACATGTTTGGTCCAGACACAATTCATTCTCCAAGTGTTTTTGTTCCGAGGCTGGTTGACTCCAAAATTTGAAGCCCACATTGTGGCGGACAAAAGGCCGAATGCATTTGACGTCTGTGATAACGGTGTTCTGGGAAGCGAGACATGTAATGCCGCTTTCATTCATGGAGGTGGGTAAAAGCCAGGCCACACCAGACACATGCCATGTGAGACAGTGGGAGGGTTAGCGCCTGCCCCAGTCTGGTACTGAGGACAGTGCTGAGGCCAAAGCTGGTGCCTTTTGGAGTGGACGCCCTGGCCAATCTCGTTCGATGCTTTGGCTGTCTGATACTTCATGGGCACTTGAGAGCCAGCCCTGCTTCATCCTGGGGGTGAAAGCAAGTATACGTATATATAAATATGGGTTTTCATTATAATTTTTATTTTTAAGAGAATAAAACCAAACAAAATAAGTGGAATGAAACCAATCAAAACAAAACAGTGGAAGTTATATTTGACTTCAGAACAAGATAATAGGAAGTGAAAAGTGGCTGCCATAATATATCATATTTTTTAATATGATGCCTGTGCCATCAGATATAATAAAATCAAACCAAAAACAACCAGAATAGAACCTATCAAAACAAAACAGTGAAAATGATACAGGTCTTGGAAAATATTAGGGAATTAACAGTGGCTACCATTTTCCCTTTTTAGATGTTTCCTTCC